AACATTAGTTTTTTTACGATTGCTGGATAGGTTGTGAATTGAGAATTTTTTTTACAAATTTCTAATATGAATTTGAGAATTAGTTTTTTTTTAAAGGTAAAATATATGTTTTTCGACTTTCTTGGGGTTTTCTTCTTTGTGTTCTATAGAATATTTTTTGGGTGCTAAGCAGTTTATTTTGTGGACAGCAGCGTGTCACAAGCTTGATTGATCTTGTTATGCATTGCTAGATACAAGGCATACAAAAAATTACATAAAAGAGGAAACCTCAAATATAAAAAAAGCCTTCTCATGAATAACGAGACAACTCAAGTTAATAAGATAACTTATCCATCAATTGGTATGAATTCTATTATATAATGGTGATTAATTTGTAATTGTCAAAATGCAATTTAATGCGATTTGTGAATATTAATGGAGAGCATTTTTGGGTTTGGTCACTAGGAATTTTATTATGTCTCTGGGCTTTGGCCTCTCTAAGGTTCAAACTTTGTTCTTGCTTTCCCTCTCACCTTAATCACATGTCTGAGCATTGCACAGGTTGTTGCAATATGATATGTGGATTTTTTTTTGTTTTATAGTGCCTATATATGGTGGTATTTGATAAAACTGAAAACTGAAGTCTAAAAGCTAAAAGTTGAAGTTTGAAAGTTGAATATTGAATGCTGAATTTGTGGACTGTTTGATATTCACTGAAATTTAAGTACTGAATTGAATTAAACTGTTTGATAACTGCACAGAGCTGACGTCCGAAAATAAATTAATTTTCAATTTTATCTTTTCACTCTTTAATTTAAAAATATTTATAAAATATGTCAAAATATAAATTATAATTACTATTATTATATTTTAGTCTACATTTAAAAAATATTTGATCAAAATAAATAAATAAATAACATCTGAATAACACAATAAGTGAACAATAATAAATTGAATAACATAATAAGTGAACAATAACATCTGATTAAAAAAAGAATAATAACTAATAAATAATCAAATAATATTGAAAAAATACAATAAATTAGATTTTATTAACAATATATGTGTGCATTGTATGTGTGCGTGCAGTTCATGTGTGTAAGTATGTGTGTGTGCAATTCATATGTCTGTGTATAATTGTGTGTGTGCAGTGTGTGAAGTGTGTGCATTTGTATGTGTAATTATAATTATGTATGTATATTTTTGTTATAGAAGACAAGGAAAAAAAAAAGAAAAAGAAGAGATCGGCAAGTAAAATATATAGGTTAAGGATTTTGGAGAGAAGACTAATTAGAGTTTTAATAGGATTATAAAATATTTCAGGATATAATTGTTATATTGTAAATATTATTAAAGAAGGTTTTGTTGAGCGCTTTCAGCTTTCAGAATTAAGTAAGGGATCACCTCTTAATATTGTAGCCTATTTTTAAGGAGCACTAAATATATTAAGATAACTTAAATTTTGGTTATCAAACGGGCTTAATTAATAAGTACTGAATACATTAATTTTAAGTACTGAATTTGGATTAACAAACACATCCTATGTTATAGATTTAATAGAATTCATATGAATCACTAGATTTTCTTATGCCTTTCAATTAGCTTTTAGGAATATGAGACCTAAATTTCTTTTTCCTGTTTGTATTACAAAATGGTGGGTTTTTTGTATGGGCAGAGCAAAATGCGATACATGCATGAAGATGTTTATGTGTATTACTAACAATGCCTCAGAGCTATGCATCTGTTAGTGCTATGCCCAACATAACGATGAAATTTTTCATTTAGGGGGCATAGCCTAGAGGCTTAGGTTTTGGAGGCAGTCGATAAGTAGGCAAGTCCATCATGTTTAATACACTTTACTTGTCAAAGAGAACCCGGTCAACAAAAGAAGTCAATTGTCGATGCCTTTTCGATTGAGAAATGCGAGTTTGTTTTATCCACTTTCTCCATCCCCCTCTATAAAAATGACCAAAAAGGAAGGTGAGCTTGCTTCTTATTCCCGTGTTTGATCTCTTCCATCTCTGCCTTGCTCGTTGTTACCTATGTTGAAGAAAGGTTTGGAACCCTGTAGAGAATGAAGAGAGGCCAAGGTTCTTCCTCTCAACAGTGCTTCTTGAGGCTCCACAGGAATATGGTTGTACTAAGGGAGGCCTATGGCATGATGGTGAGTGCGCTAATTGGTTAAAGCCATAGTTCTTTAAGCAAGGCCAACAAGAAGTACTCAATTTGAGTAAATAAATTGTGGACACATGTTGATATTTTTGTGAAGTCTTGTTTTTATATCAAACTTTGTCGACTTCTCATTTTCCCTAATTGACGATTTTTTTTTTGTTACATAGTGTCTTTAAGCACAAACCTGAGCTCTGAGGTAAAGAAAAAGGGGTGACTAGTCCCTTTTCCCTCTCGTACCCCTATAGATGAAGAGCCTGCAAACCTTTCCTCCATGACTAGTTTGACAAAAACCTATCTTCCCCTCAGGTGAACCTCCTTATTATGATTTGAGTCGTGGGGAATGAGAGTGGGAGGAGATTATTTGAACTATTTTTGCTTTCGATGTTCTAGTTTAATCCATGGGGCAAGAAAGAGGGGGATGTTGTTGGGCAAGGAAGGATATTGGAGTTGTGGAGGAGGGGAAAACGGGTTGTTATGGAGAAGGACACGACTGGGGGTTGTAGGGGCTGAAAAGGGGAATGGTGGGCGAGTGGGCTAATGTTGGGAGGGAAGGAGCTATAGCTGCGTTTCGGGTAAGTGTGGGGAAGAAGTGGGATGTTTGGATATGGTGTTATAATCTTATTAATGTTGTTTCAAACGAGGAATGAGTTTTGATGGGATGTTCTCGTAGTTTTATAGGGAAATGACTCGTGTCCTCGACAATTTTGGCCTCGGAATGTCCCCTGAGTGACATGTGTCCTCAGCATTTATGCCCTTAGAGCATCCCTAAGAGACACGTATCCTCGACTTTTTGGCCTCGAGGTGTCCCCTGAGTGACACATGTCCTCGGCATGGATGCCCTCGGAAGCATTCTTGAGTGACATGTGTCGACATGAGTGGCCGCGGAGTACCGCCTTAGTGACATGTGTTCTCGACACAGGATGGCTTCTCTCCCCTTGTCACCATCGTCAAGGCCTTGACATCAAGCCATTCACACCAGCGTAATCTGAACAGTTGCTTTGATGGTTAACTCCTGCCAAATGATAAGGTTAGATTCTTAGGGGAAAAAGAGAAGGTCAGCTAATGCAAGTATACTAGTGATCGTGGTAAAATAAAGCATCATGACTTAGGAGCAGGGTTGGCTATCAATCATCAATCCCCCTTCCCAAGGCAATCAGAATTGTTGGTAAGACAGTTCAGTAACCAATGATAAAGGTGTACAAAGTACGAAACATTTAATTTCTGACCTATTGGAGGATAATTGACGAAAATGCCCCTGCGCGTGCGCAGCCACAACCAGGGCGCATTAAATGACCCTATAGAAGGATATGATGTATTTATTGCTCGGCGGAGTCGAAAAATGAGCATTAAGTGCTCGGGGATCTGAGTACTAATTTGCAGAAGCTTGTGCTACATAGAGGGGCAAGCACTCTGATCGAATTCTGTGTACTAGATGTTGCACTCCCAATGAACCAATCAGGTGTCTTCCCTCCAAGTGACCCACTTGTCCGCAATGATTATTTCCTTGAAGGTATAAATAACATCCTCTCTCTCAAATACTAACTTGATCACTAGACGGGTCATGCTGAAAAACACTCCGACGTCCTTCTAACCGTTCTTTTTTGCATGAGTAGATCGATTGTAGAGAGTTCCATCACTGTTTGTTACGTCTCCTCAGTAGCCATTTGCTGTGGGACACTCGACTTTCCAGGCAAACTTGACCTCACCAAGAGAGAGATTTTTCTTCTTATTCATTGTGCTAAAATCATTTCACACAAGTTTAGAAAAAATATTATTTTGTTTGAATGAGAATTAAGTTGCAATGTTGACATTTTGGACATTATTGTTATTGACATAATATTTCTCCAATGACAAGGGTCTGTAATGGATTCCTATACCCATTTTTATAAAAATCAAGAGGTACGAGTTCATTTTACCCTAATTTGTATATACGTTCCAGTCAATTTATCTTAAGGAGTTAACTTGACAACCATTCCTTAATTAAACAAACATGGAAGCAACCAACTATATATTTGTACCATTGTTACTAGAATTTATTGAACCCCTAACGATTCACGATTTAAGTATATTGATTCCAAATGGAGTGGATTTGCTATTCAGATCATTAAAATGCACGACCTCAAATTGTAAAATTAATTTTAAATTGATTCACTTTGGAACATGTGATATAAATATAACATATGCATCAATTAACTATGTGTATATAAATTTATAATTATATATTATTTTAGATAATAAAAAATTGACCACAAATGTAATATAAATGATAATTAATTTGGTGTTTATTGATGTTTTGTGATATATAATGTTGTATAGTTGTGAAAATGATTTAGATAAGAATTTCAAAACGAATTGCGACTTACAATACTATACCTGTTAGCTTATTCTCATGGTATCTATCTAAAAAAATATCGTTTCATGTCCTCATGCCACGTATGAGAGCAACCCACGATTCAGGTAAGATTGGTAACAACTTCCATATCTTGAATCCGTCAATTATCAATTATCTACTCACTTACCAACAGGACTCAAAATAGCTTACTTTTGGACTTCAGCTCAGTCCAAGAACCCTTAAAAACACCTCATAATTGGCATAAATGCTGTTTTCTGGATGCTTGATAACGACATCAAAGTAGGGTAAACTAAACAATACTCTCTTGGAATCATATGCCTTATGGCTTTTTCGTCTTATCTAACCTTTGAACTTCTCTTTCCTCTCAAGCTAGACAAATCCTATTCCCCCGACCCGGCCCACCCCCACCAAGTCATATCTGCAATACTAAGAATCCTCAAGCTATAAAAGCACCACAAAGCACACCCACTGCTCGTCCCCAAATAACTTCTCTCTCACTTTACTAAGAATTCAATTCTGCCCTCTTTAGTTTCTGAGTTCACTTAGGAGTTAGGAACATCTGTAGTGAGATGGAGCAACAAGTGAAAAAGAGAAACAGGGGTGAGACAAGAGAAGTTGATGAAGATAAGTGGGTGCATGACTCATCATTGGATCATAAAGGAAGAGTTCCCCTGCGAGGATTAACTGGCGTTTGGAAAGCGTCACTCTTCATTATAGGCAAGGCCATAACACAAACTTTATCAAATTTTTGTTGATTTTTTTCCTTCCTGTAAACATGAGTGCTTGGTTCCACTTCCAATTGTTTGATTATTCTGTAGTTTTGAACAACTTTCAGGGCAACATACTAGCTACACGTCAGGACCTTGAACTTCTTTTTTTGTTCTTCCTCGGGTACTGCATTAGAAGGCATTTTGGAGAAACAAAATGCCTTCTTCTTGTGCATGGTCATGTAAACCTGACTGAATATGTTGAAATGCCCATAATTGGATAGTCTGGTGCCTGTAGTAAATTTTATTGTTAAGCTGTTAGGGAGCAAAAAGTGTCATTAATTGTTTTAAGATCAAAACACCCTGGTGGAGCTTTTAACATCGTAAAACTGTGCGTGTTGGGGTTGGGGGGAGGGAGATGGGGATGGGGAAGAGGGTTCATGAGAGGATAGTCGCAGAAGTCACCACCAGAAGTACTGATAAATGACAGCAAAAGTTTTTAGTTGTGAAATGAATAAGACATACATCATGTTCAACAAAAATCTTTAATGAAAGGGCATTCCAAGTGGTGTGAGAAAGTTTCAAAATTTTCTTTATGGGGGAAATCATTGTACGGATTGATGTTTAGGAAAAAAGTTAATATATTTCTTTTGTTTTCTTTCTGAAATCTTCAAATGATCGAAACTCTTTTGAACATCCAAGGAAGAGAAAATGGTGTGCACATTCACTCACAGTTCAATGACTATATAGCTCTACCCTACAGTTATATCGTTATCTAATTCGATTTATATATTGTTCTTTACATGTGGTGAAGCAATTGAGTTTAGTGAGAGGCTGAGCTACTTTGCAATAGCTACAAATCTTATCTCATACCTCAACAAAGTGATGCATCAGGACCTCAAAACAGCAGCAAAAAATGTAAACTACTGGGCAGGAGCAACCACAATTATGCCTTTAGTTGGAGGTTTTCTTGCTGATGCTTACACCGGTCGATTCATTATGATCCTGCTTTCATCTATCATCTATTTTATGGTACATCTCATTTAATTTTCAAACTTGCATAAGCTTATGGTCTTGCTTCATCAATCTTATCTTATCTTATCTACAATTGTCACTGTGGATTCCAGGGTCTGAGCCTCTTGACAATGTCTGAATTCATCCCAGGCCTAAAGCCGTGTGATTTGGAAACATGCACCCATCCCGGGAAAGTTCACGAAGTGGTCTTCTTCCTCGCAATATACTTGCTCTCTCTAGGGACTGGAGGACACAAACCTTGCTTGGAAAGCTTCGGGGCTGATCAATTTGACGATGATCACTTAGAGGAAAGGAAGCAGAAGATGTCTTATTTTAACTGGTGGAACTTCGCTCTTTGCATTGGGCTCTTGCTTGCTGTAACATTGATTGCTTATGTGCAAGATTATGTGAGCTGGGGTGTTGCGGATCTCATTCTCACTGTTGTTATGGGCATTACGATTGTAATCTTCTATCTTGGAAAGCCTTTCTATCGGTATAGGGTGCCAGAAGGCAGCCTCTTCACACCAATGTTGCAGGTCCTGGTTGCAGCCATAAACAAGAGAAATCTACCATATTCGTCGAGTCCTGATTTATTATATGAAGTTCCCAAGTCACAAAAGTTCCAAGGAAGGTACCTATGCCATACTAGTGATCTCAGGTGAGGAAGCAAAATATATTTTCTGTTACAAGTCACAATCAGAACCATTTCCGCTTGATTTTTCATTTTATTTCCGAATTGTAAGTGATTTGAAGATGGGTTTTCGATTTGTTTCTAACCCATGTCGACTTTCAACCAGAATGTGATCAGGAACTAAAATCTGCTTTTTGATCTGCAGATTTCTTGACAAAGCTGCGATAATTGAAGACACTCAGAATTTATCAGCCGAGAAAGGAGGAAGTCCATGGAGACTAGCAACAGTGACTAAAGTTGAGGAGACAAAACTTTTATTAAAAATGATCCCAATATGGCTAACTTCATTGACATTTGGTATATGCGTTGCACAAGCTTCAACCTTCTTTCTTAAGCAAAGCAGCACAATGAACCGAAAGATTACAACAAATTTTGAGATCCCACCTGCTTCAGTCTACTCTATATCGGCCATTGGAATGTCACTCTCTGTCACCATCTACGATAAAATCCTCGTTCCAGTGTTAAGAAAAGCTACAGGCAACGAAAGAGGCATTAATATCCTCCAGAGGATTGGTATTGGAATGGTATTAGCAGTTTTATCCATGGCTATTGCAGCATTAGTCGAAAGAAAGAGGCTAATAGTTGTGGACAACGAAATTATACAAGGAGGGAAAGTCGGGGCTATATCCATGAGTGTATTTTGGCTAGCTCCTCAGTATATAGTTCTTGGTATAGGAGATGGGTTCACTCTCGTCGGAATGCAAGAGTATTTCTATGATCAAGTTCCTGATTCAATGAGAAGCTTGGGGATTGCATTCTATCTGAGTGTGATCGGGGTTGGAAGCTTCTTAAGCAGTTTCCTAATAATTCTCACAGATCATATCACAAGGAAAGGTGGGAGAGGGACAAGTTGGTTTGGGAAGGACTTGAACAACAGCCATTTAGACAAGTTCTACTGGTTGGTGGCAGCCATGAATGGGTTGAATTTGTGCATTTATGTGTTCTTGGCAAAGAGGTATTCTTACAAGAATGTGCAGAGAAGGGTGGTTGTGGCTGATTTCAATGCCAGTGATAGGGCAGAGTCAGTTGCTTGACATTCTTGTAGTTCATGGTGGAGTTGGATGAAGAATGCTGTCAGTTTCTTTCTCAATATCTGTGAATTTGTGAAGCAGCTTGAAGCTTTGAGCTTCAATTCTTGCAGGAGCTGCTCATAAGACCAATGAAGTATTACCAATTTGTGTCTCTCTTGGTGCTATTATGTAGGAAGAGATTAGAAGAGCCAAGAGAGAGAAGGACAAATTCTTAGGGTCCAATGCTAGCCAAGCTAGTCTGGACATATCCCTGACCTCATGTGCTTGGCCTAATTTAATCACCAGCTCATCAACTCTATTTAACTCTCTTCGTTCAAACTTGATTTGCATAACATTACCATTAAGAAAATTATTTAATTCATTCAACCTGAATTAATTGATCAAAAATAAGCAATCTCAAACTCAAATCTATCTTAAACTTCAATCCATCTTTGTCCAACCAACTCACAACAAAATGTAACCAATTTCACGGCTGACACAACAGAATTGGTTGAGGAAAAGGAAACCCCAACGACCAAGCACTCCCACCCCAAAAGTGGAGACCGAGGAACCGTCGAGGACAGGTCTGTAGAGGGATAGGCACCCTCTTAAGTTTACCACCTTACCCATTAAATCGACTGAAAACCCAAACTGCTTGACTGAATCCCTCAATCCCAGGCCAAAATACCAGTCATGGAAATCATAGCTACTAGTTCAAAGTCTCCTCATTGATAAAGCAACAGGGCATTCAACAAGTAGACCATCCCATAACATCATAAACATGAAACCGGTGATAATGTATTTAACATTACCAAATCAGACTTTACCCGAACTCAAACAATAGAAACGACTATACTGTCAGCAAATCCCCATGATCCATCCGAGTATGGCACATAGGCCGTGTTTAAGTAACAACGAAACCATATTTTGGTGGCCATGATCCAGAACCACTAATAGCAGTTTCCGGACTAACATATGTACCTGAAACACTGCATAAAAAGGCCAAAAGAGGATTGACTTCTGCTTGTGCCAAACTTACACGTATCCCAAACCCCAGCAACATTTACCTGCAGAACAGCAACTAAGAAGCACTTCCCCAAGTTATCCAACCAACAAGTTGCACCAAGTATAACACATGCGGCTCACCCACTTTGATACAAGCCACACCTACTTTTTCCTCTAACCAGGGTAAAAAGTACCTGCAACTGACATGAAAAGGTGTCAACAGAATTAAAATGCTAATAAGGGTAGCATCACTATAGAAGAATTTAGAATTGATTGCTCTTAAGTGCAATCATTACAGTCATGTTGATGACCCCAACCTAAGCACGGCTCTATTCCAGAGTAGCTCATTGGAAAATTGAGCTGTAATATGGCCTGAGATTGGGTGGTTTGAGAAGTGAATGAGTCTGAGCAAGTTTGGGATGTAGCCTAGTCCATGATGTTCTTGAATAGCTTAGTGAATCGGCATCCATACAAACACAATAAAAGATGGACTGACATGGTCTAACAANATGAGTCTGAGCAAGTTTGGGATGTAGCCTAGTCCATGATGTTCTTGAATAGCTTAGTGAATCGGCATCCATACAAACACAATAAAAGATGGACTGACATGGTCTAACAATAGACTGATTGCATAATTCTAGTTTGTACTAAAATCCAAGAAAAGACAAATCTATGAGGGTNAATAGACTGATTGCATAATTCTAGTTTGTACTAAAATCCAAGAAAAGACAAATCTATGAGGGTGTACATTGTCTAACAATAAACTGGTTGCATAATTCTAGTTTGACAAATACTTAAATCCAGGGAAAGACAAATTTATAAGGGTGTCTTGTATCCTCGGACAAGGTCCAAAAAAGACAACTAGAAACAATGCCATTTGCAGCCACCACTAGATACTGCCTTTATTGACGTTGAATAAGGAGATTATAATTTTTTTTTTTCATTTTCTTGCATAAAAAGACTTTTCTAAAATCTTATTGTGACACCATGTGGGTGGTTTGAGTTTGAAAACAGCCAATTAAGTTTGAGAGCATCCATTTTTGGCAAATTTATGCAAAAGGTTAAATTTAAATTGTATCCAACATCACTCTGTCAGCCCTGCAAAGTGGACCGAAACTGACTAATGGCCTTCTGTTATGTGACACCACATGCTCTTTTTTTTTCACAAAATATATGGAACTAACATCTAAGTTGATACACGCCGACCCAAAAAATATTGGGACAAGATTTTGTTGAGTAGAGTTCTATCTAGGTTGATACATTAAAACAAAACATAATGAAAACTTTTAATAGTCAGAGGCTGACCAACCACAAAGTAATGAAAAAAAAAAGCAGAGCACCTTAGCCCTGGCTTCTTAAGAGAGGGATTAAGGTGTGTTTAGTTTAAGGCTTTAAGCATTATAAGAGAGTACTGGACAAAAAAATGCATGAGCCCACCTTATCTCCTTTACTCCCATGTTTGGATACACACTTTGGGCCCAATATTATCACCTAGAAATAATCTAGGTCCAAATGAATAGTGCATTCAAAACCACCTACAGCTTCTTAAATAAACCCACCTATTTGGTGGGTTTAAATACTCTAGTTGGAGTGTGTTTGGAAAAAATACATTTTTACCCTCAAGAACTCTAGGATATAAATATCTTGAGGGTTCTTTAGAAATTTAATATTTATATCATCATTTAATAATTAATCCAAACAAAATATTGGATTGGATAAATGTGAGGTCCATTACTTCTTAATATTTGAACCAAACATCGGATTAGAAGGCATAAATTTTAAATTTATCTTTTTTCACCAGTTGAATGGGTATGGAATGGATGGGGTTGTCCTATCCGATACATCCTAATACCTAATCCAAACACACCCTAAAGGCATGTTTGGTTGAGGTACAAATAAAAGATGGGATTGGGTAATTAGCTCACATCCAATCCATAAAATGGTATTAATAAGAGTATTATTTAATCTTATCCTTATATAACAAATTTGAATCAAGGTTGGGATAATATACAAATCTATAATTATAATATCAAATTTATATTTGGATTAAGTAATAGTGTATGGTATTAAATTAAAAATGACAAAAAAAAATATTGAGAGTAAGAATTTGAATAATATGTAACTTTTATATAAAGGTGTGACTCTAATTTTGAAAGGATAATAAATTCATTGCATTTTTAATACTCAACTTGTTAAAAATAATACCACCTCTTACATGGTATTCATTACTAACTAATATTAGGTGTTAAATGATAATAGTGAACTGGGTCGGGATTAATTAAAATTAATATTTGGTCGCTATATTATCTAAACTTAGTATTATATTATTACCTAATTAAATTAATCTAATCCACCCCCTTAATACCTAAACCAAACATACACTAAGGGTGTTGAACGACCCAAGGTTCTTACCCCCCCCNCTTAGTATTATATTATTACCTAATTAAATTAATCTAATCCACCCCCTTAATACCTAAACCAAACATACACTAAGGGTGTTGAATGACCCAAGGTTCTTCCCCCCCCCTTCCCCCCTTTCTTTGGCACATAGAAGAAGATGATGTGCTCGAATGCAATCTACTTACATATATCCATTCCCAAACACTTATGTTTGGAAGAGTCAAATAACAATTCAACTTGCACTAAATCCACACCCTCTAGAAATAAAGCTATTATCTCTTACGATTACAAATGCTCCATGCATTAGGATATAAACCTATGAAATGGATAGACATTGAGTTCCTCGCAAGGTACCCTAAGTGCACATAATTCCAACAGACCATATTTTCTCATTGGCCTCAACCATATCATATCAAACCTTTCTCCACTTAATTCTTTAATGGCTAAAAAATAGGTTAAACCCCCCAATTGATCTAACATTGGACCACCGAATCTTTACTGTAAAGTTTTATGAACAAGTGGCATCAACAAAAATACAAAATTGAATCAACCAAGAGAGTATAAATAGTCAATGGCAAGTATATTAACAAAGAGCCTTTCTTTGAAATTGAATTTTGAAAATCCATCACAGTTTGTCTATGACTGCAGCAATAAATGAGGCAAATATAAAATTCAATTAAATGCGAACAACTTCAGCATTGAAACTTCGACATAATCCTCTTACCCCCACAATCCAATACAACACTAACACTAGATACGGGAATATAATTAATGATACTGACACAGCAACCAGAATATTAAGATGAAGGAACTGAGTCAGTAATGGTGTGCTGACCTGGTAAACAAGGGAGCAGTAATAAGCCACCTACATTTTTGTGGACGCCATAAACCTATTCTTTTTTTCTGCTGGCTTAAGAATTTGGAAAGAGCACATTAAGTTTTCATCAACGCTCATCATTGCACCGGCATTATCAAATTCACCACAGTAGTTGGGCGCTGAGAATATGGTAACAAGCTGCCTATCAGCAAAGAATTCATAACCATCCTCCACAACCTGCACCAGAAGAAGTAATTTAGTGACAAGCGATGAGTTGTTTAAAAAAAGACAAAACAGCACAGTAAATATAACCTGATGGGCACGACAGACAAGGTCTAAATCGTGCTTAGTCAAGAACTCGGACACCTTATCAGAGCCAAAGGTGAATGAAACTCCTCTATCGTTCATACCCCATCCCTTGACATCTTTACCAGGATCTGACCACAGTAAATCACACAGCAAACCCGTGTCAGGGATAGCAGTTGGTCGTGGCAAGTTTCTAATCTGATCCAAGTTTGTAAGATCAGGGGAGAGGCCCCCATGCATGCACAATATCTTGTCATCAATCAGAGCAGCCACCGGAAGCCAATTAAAACAGTCTGTAAAGGCTTTCCATAGCCTAACATTAAACCGGCGCTTACATTCATCATAAAATCCATAAATTCTATTAATAGACGCACATTCATGGTTTCCTCTAAGAAGAAAAAAGTTCTCTGGATATTTAATTTTATAAGCAAGCAAGAGGCATATTGTTTCCAAACTCTGCTTTCCACGATCTACATAGTCCCCTAAAAATAGATAATTTGCTTTTGGAGGAAAACCCCCGTATTCAAACAGCCTTAATAAATCACTGTATTGCCCATGAATGTCACCTGAAACAACAAATTGAAATAATACATGGTTAGAAAATTAATGATATATAGATATAGCCCCATTGATCATCAACTAAGTGATAACGGGGTGCCCCAATAAACCCAAAAAATCCACAATTATGTGTTTTATCGTCATCACATCATAGAAAAAGGATTGGAAATTGAGGATCTTACACCAGCAAGCTTAATCCTAACTCTATAATAATCCACATTAACCATATCTATGGATTCTGTCTTCACGCACAACACCATATCTGGTCTATAGCCACCGCAAAAGAATGAGAAATCATGTCAATTCCTTAAAAACAATAGGTGTGTCAACCATGAAAGTGTAACAACTTCACTTACTAATAATGTTTCATATCATGAGAATTTATAAGGCAGAAACCACTACGCAAACATAGTTTAAACAAGTAAAAAACTTAAAACTTAAATTGGGTAGCAGCACTCTGAATGCAATTAATAAAACTTCGATGTCCAAACATAATTTTATGACTGGGGCCATGATTACTAGACGCTCCTCGAGATCCATAGAACATTGCCTCTAGGGGTTGGGAGGCCTTCGGGTGGGGAAACAATTTAAGATTTTTGAATCTAGTGCTTTTGTCTGCTCAGTTGAAACCCACAATTACTTCGAAATCAAAGATATGGTAAACAAGACGAAAAACTCAGACTACAAGGCCTGATCTAAGAAACAACTCTAACAAAACTACTTGAAAATCCTAACAATCCACATCTGCACCATCTAAACAGAAGCCAACCCAACAAAAAGAAAAAAGCATAGAAGAACCACAGAATTAGAGTAAAAACATACCAAGACAACAATTCCATTGATCGAATGGTCAAATATAGGTATTAGGTTAAAGATACGAATACCGCAAATCTTGATGGGTGCTTCAAGTTCAAGAAGATTTTGCTGTTTCATGAAGATGTCGCGAGAGGCAACACACAGCTGCTTGATTTCTGATTCCGAAAGCTGCACTACCTTCCCTGTCTTGGAAGATCGGACCTCGGTTAACCTTTCGATTATCTTGTCAAGAACTGCAGGGTCCATTCGTCCCTGCCCCTTCCTGATAAATGCCCTTTCGTTATTTCAGATTCTGAAGAAACAAACCCCAATCTTTGATCTTCTTCTCGATGGTCTTTTTGTGGGTTTCTTTTGGTTTTGTTTCGGGAGTGGGGGGTTTGGGTGATGGGGTTGTTTCTTTGCTGTCGGTTTAGTCTTTCTCTTGAGTCTTGAGTCTTGAGTTTGAATGTATGTTGAAAAGTGTGGCAATTGAAAATTCATTTGCTTTCGTGACAATGGTAGAGAGAGAGAGAGAGAGAGAGAGAGAGAGAGAGACTATACTTAAATAGTAGGATTAGTAGAAGATTTTAAAGTAGGAGATTTCCAAGCAGGAATAAGGAGCGGCTGCAACTCCAATGTGGCGGAGCTGCCCATCTCTCTCTCGCGTTTTCCTTGGATTTGCTTTGATTTTTCTGTTGGGTGAATCACACTTTATACCCCGAAATTTTTAAAAATCTTGATTGGTACCCCTAATATATGATCTCTTCTCTCAAGCACATTGGATCATTGCAAAGTGGGGGAAGATGGTCTACAAAGAAGTGGATTTGAAGTGTGNCGTTTTCCTTGGATTTGCTTTGATTTTTCTGTTGGGTGAATCACACTTTATACCCCGAAATTTTTAAAAATCTTGATTGGTACCCCTAATATATGATCTCTTCTCTCAAGCACATTGGATCATTGCAAAGTGGGGGAAGATGGTCTCCAAAGAAGTGGATTTGAAGTGAAAACATTTTTTTTCCTCATTAAGAAAGGTTGTCTAAAATTGACTTGCTTCAACCTTACTCATCTAAGCCTTTGACAATAAACATAAGTTGCAAGTTCAATTCAAATCATGGATGATAAAAAAAACTCATTCTATTGCAAAAATTTCTCTAGTTGAAGAACATGTAATGTGTTACAATGCAAAATACCAAAATAATGATAAAAAGGATTATGATAATTCGACCATTATTGTCCTTAAGTATTTGTCTTTTAAATTCTGTACGAAGTAAGACTTGTAATGATTGTACTTAATCATGCATCCAAAAGATATATAAAGGGTTTGGGTAATGAGATCAGACTCTCCAAAATGAAGAGTNATTCTATTGCAAAAATTTCTCTAGTTGAAGAACATGTAATGTGTTACAATGCAAAATGCCAAAATAATGATAAAAAGGATTATGATAATTCGACCATTATTGTCCTTAAGTATTTGTCTTTTAAATTCTATACGAAGTAGGACTTGTAATGATTGTACTTAATCATGCATCCAAAAGATATATTAAGGATTTGGGTCACGAGATCAAACTCTCCAAAATGAAGAGCAAGACCGTCGATCACTTATCTTTCGCAAGCAGTGCTAGAAGTAAGAGTTATCTGCATTTGACATGACTTCCATCTAAACAAGCAAATTAATTAAAACTCACATCTACCATACCCATAAACAAAAGTAGGAAAGATTTTAGGGTAATTGTCCCCTTTTGGATCAATACTAGACAACAATCAAATAGCTTAACTTTGTTTGTCAATTTGATTATTAGGATAAATAATACGGAGAGCCTTTTTGAAGGTGGTATGTGAGCTTTAGTATATTCACTTTCAAGACTCTTCTATTAAGCTCTGTTGAATGTTCTGCATTGATATTGAGTGAGTAGTCATATTTGTACGATGAATTTGTGTTTGTTAATGAAAAAAAAAAAACCACAGGGAAAAGTTGGTAATTTAATTGAGAGTTGGGGAGAAGAACAAGAGTTGAGGGTCATTAGACATTAGGCATGTTTGAACTGCTTCAAAGGAACAATGTACACCAGAGTTAAAAGAGTTACACTGCTTGCATTGGTGTCTGACAAATCAAACCCACCCACTTGCATATCTACATGAAGCAACCACTCTACCATGTCAAGTGTTGGACACCACTGACCACACCACTAATAAAAGAAGCAACATAGTGCTTGTTTTGTGAAGCAATGTTCTTGGTGCCCATCTTTTCAATGCTTCCATCAGCTGGTAATTTTGTACAAGAATGCCATCTTTTTTTTATCAAATGGTACATCAGAATGATGGATCTATGGATGGGCCGAGGTGATCACTCATCTAATTGGAAAATCTTTTTTTTTTTTTTTATAACAATACTATTATTGTCGGTGAATATTCTTGAACTATGTAAGTTTGTTCCCAACCTTCTATTCCCCTCTAAGGCTAAATTCATGTATCGGCCAGCAGCAAGCATTTTTCTCAAGTAGCCAACATAAGAAGACGACTTATTGTTATAAGAGTAGTCAATGAGTTGGGTCAGGCTTATCCGCCCGCCTCCTACAACTGTGTAGGGTACGGATAGTAATCATATTTGTATTGTACGATATTTCACATTCGTATCGAGTATTAGTTAATTTTAATTTAACCCGTTTAACTAATTTTGTTAAGTTGAGTCCACCTATTTATTTTCATGTCGTATTCATCTTGACCCATATAACTAGTGAATAAAAAATTTAAAGCTCAGATTTAAATCTAAAATTTAATTGTCACTTAATCGAATCTATGTTCATACTTTTCTTATAAATTAAAATGTAACTTAATAAATATAATAATAATAATTTTTTTTTTTGTAAAATAATTATGTTACTACTTGATAAAATATAATAAAATTTAACATTTTATTCTTATAATATTAGTTAAATTATGTCAATTTAATGTTGTTCGTGTTTTGACATTAAATCGATCTATTTATTATTTAAATTAATTGTTCATGTTATTTACTGATTGTATCAATAAATGAGTAACCCCAAATAATAAATTTCGTAGCGGTTTGAAATCGTAGTTTTATATCGTATTAGAAACTCCCACCAAGGGGGCAATTGGCCGGTCAAAGGGCCAAGCCGCCCAAGGAAAATACGATACACGACCTAACCTTGCGCCAAACCTAACGGGCCTAGTTTTTCCCTNTTGTTTGTCAATTTGATTATTAGGATAAATAATACGGAGAGCCTTTTTGAAGGTGGTATGTGAGTTTTAGTATGTTCACTTTCAAGACTCTTCTATTAAGCTCTGTTGAATGTTCTGCATTGATATTGAGTGAGTAGTCATATTTGTACGATGAATTTGTGTTTGTTAATGAAAAAAAAAAAACCACAGGGAAAAGTTGGTAATTTAATTGAGAGTTGGGGAGAAGAACAAGAGTTGAGGGTCATTAGACATTAGGCATGTTTGAACTGCTTCAAAGGAACAATGTACACCAGAGTTAAAAGAGTTACACTGCTTGCATTGGTGTCTGACAAATCAAACCCACCCACTTGCATATCTACATGAAGCAACCACTCTACCATGTCAAGTGTTGGACACCACTGACCACACCACTAATAAAAGAAGCAACATAGTGCTTGTTTTGTGAAGCAATGTTCTTGGTGCCCATCTTTTCAATGCTTCCATCAGCTGGTAATTTTGTACAAGAATGCCATCTTTTTTTTATCAAATGGTACATCAGAATGATGGATCTATGGATGGGCCGAGGTGATCACTCATCTAATTGGAAAATCTTTTTTTTTTTTTTTATAACAATACTATTATTGTCGGTGAATATTCTTGAACTATGTAAGTTTGTTCCCAACCTTCTATTCCCCTCTAAGGCTAAATTCATGTATCGGCCAGCAGCAAGCATTTTTCTCAAGTAGCCAACATAAGAAGACGACTTATTGTTATAAGAGTAGTCGATGAGTTGTGTCAGGCTTATCCGCCCGCCTCCTACAACTGTGTAGGGTACGGATAGTAATCATATTTGTATTGTACGATATTTCACCTTCGTATCGAGTATTAGTTAATTTTAATTTAATCCGTTTAACTAATTTTGTCAAGTTGAGTCCACCTATTTATTTTCATGTCGTATTAATGTTGACCTATATAACTAGTAAATAAAAAATTTAAAGCTCAGATTTAAATCTAAAATTTAATTGTCACTTAATCGAATCTATGTTCATACTTTTCTTATAAATTAAAATGTAACTTAATAAATATAATAATAATAATTTTTTTTTTTGTAAAATAATTATGTTACTACTTGATAAAATATAATAAAATTTAACATTTTATTCTTATAATATTAGTTAAATTATGTCAATTTAATGTTGTTCGTGTTTTGACATTAAATCGATCTATTTATTATTTAAATTAATTGTTCATGTTATTTACTGATTGTATCAATAAATGAGTAACCCTAAATAATAAATTTCGTAGCGGTTTGAAATCGTAGTTTTATATCGTATTAGAAACTCCCACCTAGGGGGCAATTGGCCGGTCAAAGGGCCAAACCGCCCAAGGAAAATACGATACACGACCTAACCTTGCGCCAAACCTAACGGGCCTAGTTTTTCCCCTTTTTTTTTGCTCCATTACAACATTTTGTTTGAATATTTTTGAGTTTTGGCGAGCGTGCCTCCTTAATGGGTCCGAATTGGGTTAGCCCATTGGACCTAATGGGCAATCGAGCAGCATGCAAGCCGGTGGACATAGCCCGATGTGGGCCACGGACTATTTGTCGAACTTAATAGTACTATTGCATTAAAGTGAAATTAAGTGGTGAATCTTAGGTTTCAATGTGTTTGTTTTAGATGAACCAATGCTTGCTTTAGATCTTGGAATGATGCAATGACAGCATAAAAAGAAAAGTATTTATTCCAATGCCCACCTAGCTCGTGTTTGTGGACTTTTTGCGAGGATAAAATCGTTGGAGATACTTCAAAAAGAAAGTGGCCGATTTACACTGAGGCACCACTTTCTACTTTCTAGTGTCAAACAGCTAGTTTCTAGTTACTTTGTAAAGTTTTAGTGATTTCTATGTTAATTATGAGCATGAACCAGTTTCAAACGACTGCTTCAACTGATATTCCAATGTAATCTCCTCGAATTTGATTTTGCCAAAATTACTCAAAAGACTTATGTACTCGGACTCGGACTCGAACTTCTTGTGTTCGATTCTTCCTAATGATTCTCCAACTGGGTATTAAAAAAATTTCCCGGATCTCCATTAATAAAGATTAAATTAGGTGTAAATTTCACACAAAAGTTTGAAAAAATAAGACAAAAATCAATTTAATGTTAAATGAAAACAATAATATTTTTATAGCACATTTCAACTCAACTAGCGTTGCTATTTCAAATCTCAATAATCTATCTATAATTGATCAATTCTAAAAGATATTTTAAAGCATTTCTTTTAATCTTGTTGATGAATTGATATTTTTGGGAAAAGGCATAAATGCTTTTGGATTAACATATTTCATCATCTATGAAAAATTAATAAGGGACAACAGCACAACTATTTTTAAAAAAATATAAGGAAAAATAACAAATGTATTTTCTTTTGATCTTTCTAGGTGACGTGAACTACTAACTTCTTGAAGATAAAAAAATTAAAGACACTATTAAAATTTTTCAAAAAATTGAGGGGTGCAATGAAAAAAACTGAACACAACTTAGGCTTAGGTTAGGGGTGTCAATTTTGAGCCGTTATAAATTGATAAAATTATTAAATTCATATAATAAATGATCTAAATTAATGTTTGATACCCAAAACACACTAAATAGATTTTTTTTTTCGCTAGTCTTGACACGAATAGTAATGACACAATATGAAAGTACATGACACGTGGGTCACACATGTAACTCCGCCCCTGCATATAATTATGGAGAAGTTTCTGTAAAAGTTTAACGCGTTACATGATATTGTCAAGTGATGTATATCATTAATAAAATATTATATATTCTCAATAAATGGTTACCACCTATCACTTTATCAAGTATTTTTAAAAAAAAAGNAAGCATTTTTCTCAAGTAGCCAACATAAGAAGACGACTTATTGTTATAAGAGTAGTCAATGAGTTGGGTCAGGCTTATCCGCCCGCCTCCTACAACTGTGTAGGGTACGGATAGTAATCATATTTGTATTGTACGATATTTCACATTCGTATCGAGTATTAGTTAATTTTAATTTAACCCGTTTAACTAATTTTGTTAAGTTGAGTCCACCTATTTATTTTCATGTCGTATTCATCTTGACCCATATAACTAGTGAATAAAAAATTTAAAGCTCAGATTTAAATCTAAAATTTAATTGTCACTTAATCGAATCTATGTTCATACTTTTCTTATAAATTAAAATGTAACTTAATAAATATAATAATAATAATTTTTTTTTTTGTAAAATAATTATGTTACTACTTGATAAAATATAATAAAATTTAACATTTTATTCTTATAATATTAGTTAAATTATGTCAATTTAATGTTGTTCGTGTTTTGACATTAAATCGATCTATTTATTATTTAAATTAATTGTTCATGTTATTTACTGATTGTATCAATAAATGAGTAACCCCAAATAATAAATTTCGTAGCGGTTTGAAATCGTAGTTTTATATCGTATTAGAAACTCCCACCAAGGGGGCAATTGGCCGGTCAAAGGGCCAAGCCGCCCAAGGAAAATACGATACACGACCTAACCTTGCGCCAAACCTAACGGGCCTAGTTTTTCCCTTTTTTTTTTGCTCCATTACAACATTTTGTTTGAATATTTTTGAGTTTTGGCGAGCGTGCCTCCTTAATGGGTCCGAATTGGGTTAGCCCATTGGACCTAATGGGCAATCGAGCAGCATGCAAGCCGGTGGACATAGCCCGATGTGGGCCACGGACTATTTGTCGAACTTAATAGTACTATTGCATTAAAGTGAAATTAAGTGGTGAATCTTAGGTTTCAATGTGTTTGTTTTAGATGAACCAATGCTTGCTTTAGATCTTGGAATGATGCAATGACAGCATAAAAAGAAAAGTATTTATTCCAATGCCCACCTAGCTCGTGTTTGTGGACTTTTTGCGAGGATAAAATCGTTGGAGATACTTCAAAAAGAAAGTGGCCGATTTACACTGAGGCACCACTTTCTACTTTCTAGTGTCAAACAGCTAGTTTCTAGTTACTTTGTAAAGTTTTAGTGATTTCTATGTTAATTATGAGCATGAACCAGTTTCAAACGACTGCTTCAACTGATATTCCAATGTAATCTCCTCGAATTTGATTTTGCCAAAATTACTCAAAAGACTTATGTACTCGGACTCGGACTCGAACTTCTTGTGTTCGATTCTTCCTAATGATTCTCCAACTGGGTATTAAAAAAATTTCCCGGATCTCCATTAATAAAGATTAAATTAGGTGTAAATTTCACACAAAAGTTTGAAAAAATAAGACAAAAATCAATTTAATGTTAAATGAAAACAATAATATTTTTATAGCACATTTCAACTCAACTAGCGTTGCTATTTCAAATCTCAATAATCTATCTATAATTGATCAATTCTAAAAGATATTTTAAAGCATTTCTTTTAATCTTGTTGATGAATTGATTTTTTTGGAAAAAGGCATAAATGCTTTTGAATTAACATATTTCATCATCTATGAAAAATGAATTAGGGACAACTGCACAACTATTTTTAAAAAAATATAAGGAAAAATAACAAATGTATTTTCTTTTGATCTTTCTAGGTGACCTGAACTACTAACTTCTTGAAGAAAAAAAAATTAGAGACACTATTAAAATTTTTCAAAAAATTGAGGGTTGCAATGAAAAAAATTGGACACAACTTAGGCTTAGGTTAGGGGTGTCAATTTTGAGCCGTTATAAATTGATACGATTATTAAATTCATATAATAAATGATCTAAATTAATGTTTGATACCCAAAAAACACTAAATAGATTTTTTTTTTTCGCTAGTCTTGACACGAATAGTAATGACACAATATGAAAATACATGACATGTGGGTCACACATGTAACTCCGCCCCTGCATATAATTATGGAGAAGTTTCTGTAAAAGTTTAACGCGCTACATGATATTGTCAAGTGATGTACATCATTAATAAAATATTATATATTCTCAATAAATGGTTACTACCTATCACTTTATCAAGTATTTTTAAAAAAAAAAATTAACTTGGATGTCCCATAAGCTGATTTTGGGGTTGCTGAAGTTTGAGTGGTTTTCAACTGGGCTAGACCTTGATTTCAACACCCATGTTGAACCGGGACAGAAGTGAATGAATAGTGGTAAGAACAAGAATGTAATTGCAATGGCAGCATGTCCCTCTTCCTCTTGCAGGCCCTACATGTCGGTGGCTCATCACAAAAGTGATTGTATCATACGACACAAGAGAGACTTTTGGACTGGGGACCACCTGATCTGCTGATCACATTGTCCAAGCTGAACTTTTCTTTGCTTTTACCTTCTTTTCTTTTTTAATGGAGGGGCCTGTATGGAAAAAAAAATAAAATTTGGGTACCATAATACTTACTATTTTTTTGAAATATTTATACCACATTTTTTGAGTGGTTGTTGACATTTTAAGGCGTGACAGTTATGCAATTTAGGGGAATATAAGGGCCCCTTGTAAAATAAAGTTACTTTTCCCGGCAAAATTTCAAAATCATATGAAAATTCCCTTACGCTTTTGCCTTCTCTCTCAGCTCAGCTCTCTCACTCAATTCTCAACCGTCCAAACTCCGAACCGTTAACTTTCCTTTCTCTTTTTCTCATCAATCCGTCTCAGCGGATTCTCATCTTTTTCCTATCTCTCCCACTTTCCCTCTATTTCTTTCCGCAAGCCAAGAATCTCTTTCTCTCCCTGTCCCTCTCAGATATTCTCTTTCTTTCTCAAGCTCAACTTTATCAATGATGCCATTGTTCTTCTCCCGTCCACCTCCCTCTGTTCCATTCTTTTTCTATCCACACCCTTTCCCATCCCTCTCCCTCTCCCTCTCCCTCTCCCTCTCCCTCTCTCTCCCTTAGTCCTTTTCATGTTAGGCATCCTTTTTCATCTCCTCAAAATTCCGGCAAATCTATACATACGCTTCAATACCCATGTCTTCTTCAGGCGTCAGCCACCTTTCTCAGCCTTGCATTTATGGTATGGCCACTTCTTTCATCAGCACTAATCTGGTTCTTTACTGGGTTTTCATGCTTGTTGCTTCATTTTCTGACACACTGCTTTCATGATCTCTGCATTCAATTCATTGAAACAAAGTAAGTAATGAATTTATAAATTATTGATTAATGATTCTTTTGCATAAAAATTGCGAACGTGCCGATCTACGTGCCCTTCATATACATGAATCTATGTCTGTGTCATTTTGTTTTTAATTGATGCATATTTGGGAATTTTTTGGTTAATGTAATTCTAAGTTTTGGATTAAGCAGGGGACTTTGTTTCTTCATACGCAGAGAGGAAGTCTCGGTTCATGAAATGGCTGAGTAAGCTTTTTAAGAGTGGGTCGAGTAGAGGGGTAACAACAAGTGGACAACAACCGCAGTTTCTGGGGGAGGAAAATATGTTTTGGCGTGCTCCACCTAGATCATTTGTAAGTTGTATATTGGAGTTCAGGCCATGGGTTCATATTCTCATGATAGAAAGACAACAGTTCTGAAAAAACCCTTTGCGGATAACTATAATTTCATGTTGGTGAATCAATGAAGTGGTTTTCTCAAACTTTCCACATTTCATCAGGATGATCGCTCTAGAGCTCAGAAAGAGAAAGAGGAAGTAGACCGTGCAATTGCTCTTTCTCTGGCTGAAGATTTGAAGAGACAAAATGGTAAGTTTTGTTTTAGCTGCCTCGTCCATTTAAGTCCTCCCCCTTCCTTCTCTCCTCCCTCTCGGGCCATTATAGTCCCTGCAGGAGCTTTGGTCTTTACCCCAGTCAGTTTAGTAACATTGGAGTTGGATATTGTGTGTTTGGTTTTGTTCAGGGTGCAGATGGCGAGATGACAATGACGAAGATCTTGCAAGGTCGCTTCATGATAGCCTCAATAGACCGTCTTACCCTCCTTATGCAACTAATGGATATTATCCCAGAGGATATAGGTAATAGTTTTAACTAGTAAAGAAGTGTGTGACTTGTTTGAAACAATAATTTTATGCGTTAGGTAGTGATGTCACACAACAACTATTCTTTTTTCTTTTTGACCAAAAGTAACATACGGAAGGAAAGCTCTCTATTGTGTTTCAACTGCCCCTGCCCAAACTGAGCCACTCTAGTTGCGTGCTTGTTTAAATCAATTGAGCAGACAAAAGGTGGAGCCAGACGTTTTGAGAAGGGGGGTGTTCAATCAAGAGCACAAGAAAGACAGAATATACAAGCTCAAGGGGGAATATATCACCCTGGTTGAATGTGGCCATGTCACCCCGGATTGTATGTGGTTCTGACCAAGAAAATAAGGTTGACAAAAAGATCCTTCTTTTTCTTTGAATCCACCCAATCAAAACTCCTCCAATTCTCAACAGAGAATAGAACTGAGTGGGCAGAACATGAAAAACTACACTGCTTTGTTTATGCTTTGCGACTATATTGCATAAATGATTGATCGAAAAGAAGCACTAATTGCTTGATGGATGATCATGCCATTTCATTGCGAGTGAGCGCTTTCATCTAAAATATATCTTACTTTGGTGTTTCCCACATTATTTGACTGATTTTAAGCAATAAAGCTTATGATATAGTGAAATCAATGGTAAGAGAAAACTAGAGAGTTGGCAAGCGCAATTGTTAAGAATTACAGTATCTCATATTTGGCCAATCATCGGTAATAGTTGACCAAGATGATCTAGGCTGTAATGATGTGCTTGTAAGCGTTTTCTGATGATTATGGTGATGTAGTAGATTCATGTCTTTGCTTGCCTAATGTCAGATCAGAACTGCACTAGCATCACATGCTTGTGTGAAAGTTATGAGTCTCCAACCTTGAGTATTTTTTGATCTTTTATGCATATGCCCAACACTTGCAGAGTATGTGGTGGCTGCAATCGTGACATTGGCTATGGCAATTACTTGGGATGCATGGGGACCTTTTTCCATCCAGAGTGCTTTTGCTGTAGAGCCTGTGGTTTCCCCATCACTGAGCATGAGGTACTTGGTGTTGATTGTGTTTTTGAGTGTCATATGATGTCTGTTCACTGCATCCCTCATGTTAACACACTTATGCAGACTGTGTTTTTTCTCTTTACTGATTGCAACTAATGCTAGAACAAGTGATGCTTTTAGTTCTTCTTTTATGTCTAGCTCTTATTGGTTTTTTTCTGGTGATTCAAGTTTTCTTTGACAGGAAGGGATGCATACCATAAGTCCTGCTTCAAAGAGTTGAACCATCCCAAATGTGAAGTTTGCCACCAATTTGTAAGGAAACAATGCTTTGGCATGCATAAATGCATAAATTTTTGATTGCTGAAAGTGTTCTCTAAAAATAAAATCCTATTCTTTCTATTTGTTTTGAGTCCTCTTCATTACTCCATGTGTTAGAGTATGCAGAGTAAAAACAGTACCTTCTTGATGACCTTCTTTAGAGCTTGGCTTTCCCACTTGAGCTGAGTAAGCTGAGATACCCACAAGGGATGTTGGCAGTGTGTATGTTGCTGATGCTATGAATTGAGATAACTTTCTGCAGCATTGGTTCCAAAACTGATTCAAACATCCTGATATTAAAATGAGCTTTTAAAATTTGTAAAATCAAATCCTTGTATTCAGATGTTAACCAGATATGTGCTTATTCTCTTCTCTCTTAGTCTACTGGTGTAAAGTTTAGAAAAACATCTTCGATACTACTTTGGTATGAATAATTGTATTGAAAAAGAGTTGTCATATGCTGTCTAGCTAAGGCCATGTACCTTTGGAACCTTACACTGCTATTAGAACGGATTATAGTGGTTAGGTATTTTCCAGGACTTCTGTAAATGTAATTTCACAAATTTTCAGATCCCAACAAATGGAGCTGGTTTGATCGAATACAGATGCCACCCCTTCTGGTCTCAGAAATATTGTCCTTCACATGAGCATGATAACACAGCCCGGTGCTGTAGTTGTGAACGTTTGGAGGTACATATCTGAGCAAATTGAATCTTTGATAATATCTATAATATCTCCTTCTTGTCTTCAAAATGTATATCTCAAATTGCTCTTGTAATGCGTTTGTTGATGATGCTGTTGGTTCACTCATTCCCCCCTTCCTGAAGTCTTGGAAAGCAAGATACATATCTTTGGAAGATGGACGGAGTTTATGCTTAGAGTGCATGGAATATGCCATCATGGATACTGGTGACTGCCAACCGCTTTACCATGCCATTAGAGACTACTATGAAGGAATGAACATGAGGCTGGATCAACAAATTCCAATGCTTCTTGTGGAAAGACAAGCTCTTAATGAAGCAATTGTCGGGGAGAAAAATGTATATTAAATAATCTTTTCCTCCAGTTCTTACGCGTTTGCTCTTAGAGTTTTTCTGATACAGAATTGATGCTTTCCAGGGCTTTTACCACATGCCGGAAACAAGGGGCTTGTGCCTGTCTGAAGAGCAGACTGTTACCAGTGTGAGATATTGGGCAATCTTACCATTTGTATTTGCTTTATTAAACTTCAATGAAAGCAATGGTTTATTAGATGATTTTTTTGTGTTCCCCATTTTAAATCCAGATACTTAGAAGGCCAAGAATTGGGGGCCACCGACTCATAGGAATGAGAACACAACCACAGAAGCTGACTCGAAGATCTGAAGTTACAGCTATTCTTGTTCTGTATGGCCTCCCAAGGTAAAGTTTAATTACCATTTCTTCTTTCTTGTTCTTCCATTTAAACTATTTCCATTGTCAATCACCAGTCACCACACTTCTCTACTTCCACCCCCCGTCTTATATTTTGTCTAAAAGGTGAAGAACTTTTGAAATTTTACACACCAACACCCTTGTCAAATGCAGATTACTAACTGGTGCTATTCTTGCTCATGAGTTAATGCATGGCTGGTTTCGTCTAAACGGTAACATTTTGCCCCTTTTATACAGTTCTTTTGAAGGATGAGAGAAGAAATATTGATATTGCCAGGAGACATATGCTCTATCCAAACTACATAATAGCTATATCGTTCTAGTAGACAAATATGAGTTCTAGAGCATTGTTTCAAAAAACGCCCTCCTCCATACCTTAAACTTCTCACTGAATTTTGCAGGCTATCGTAATCTCAATCCTGTGGTAGAGGAAGGTATATGTCAAGTGCTTTCACACATGTGGCTCGAGTCAGAGGTAATGCCAGCTGGATTCAGAAATATGCCATCTGCATCTGCAGCTTCATCGTCGTCATCATCATCAACATCCAAGAAAGGTGTAAAGTCTGGCATTGAGAATAAACTGGGTGAGTTTTTCCTACATCAGATTTCTCATGATGCCTCTCCAGCATATGGAGGTGGATTTAGGGCTGCTATTGCAGCCGTAAACAAATATGGTTTACGTCCTACCCTGGACCACATTGGTATGACTGGAAATTTTCCAATGTAACAAGATCATGATCTGTGAGGCCTCATCGTTGCTGGAGATGAAGTTTTGTCTGTTTCCCCCCTATCAGAGATCATTGAATATCACCTCCTCATGAGGATTTAGTTGATGATGCAAGGTTTGGATTAGCCCCACTTAGTTTTGTAGAGATTTACATGTGCAAAAATGACTTGCATTGTCATAATGAGGCATACCTTTCAATATAAATGTAAAAGAGATCGCCTGTTCAATATTTGGTTTTGGTGGCATTTTATCGGCATTTAGAGAAGCTAGCACAGAACTTGTAGAAACTTTTGGGATAGGAATGAAATGTGCACTTAAATCCCTATGCCTGCCCTCTTTTGTCTGTGTTGAAAACATTCTGTTGCATGATTTTAGATTGAGAAAATCCACATGGTGCATGAAAATTTGTGGTTGATTTGAGTTTACAGTATGCTATTAAGTGCTAGTATCTTAGCAGAGGTAACAATTGACAACTTATTTACACCGAAATCAACCAGAAATCCAAAATCTTTTTGAGGTATCCATTTATAGTTTTTATTTTTTAGCCAAGAGGATGGTCTGCCGTGTTCTTGACTACTCCTCTTACTACAAAACATCTAACTAGCTTGCAGCTAGATCCACCTATATCCAAACTTGTTTCGTTTGAGAAAAAAAAAAAAGATAAAAAGAAAAAACCCAAAAAAAAAAAAAAAAAAAGAAAGAAGAAGAAGAAGAAGAAGAAGAAAAGATCTCCCTTTGGGAATGAAAATTTTCTCTCTGTCCTTTATATTTTCTAAATAATCAAGAAAGCCCCGACCAGGAATCGAGTAACCAGAAGTCTGTTGGACACAATGTTACAACAATTGAGTGCCACTAGCTTGGGATCCTAGTACTTTTCCTTTAGTCTTTTTTGTCAATGTAATGTATCCGATTGTGCTCAAAATGACATTATGGAAGTGATGTACGATGCCTCACAGCACAAAAAAAGACGGTTCTTAAAGAACAAAAATATATCGTCTAAATGGCTCTCAGTTGATGTAGAATCAAAATCTCTAACGAAAAAAATTGGCGTTTGAATACTTTAATACATGTTACAAAATTGTTTTCTTTAATACATGTTACAAAATTGTTTTCTTTAAGACAATACTTGCTCCTGCAAATTTTAAAATTATTGTGCATTGGGTTACAACTAAGGGTGATCACTCTTATTATACGGGTAGAAATTATGGTATTCCATCTTCTTACTTGATACTTTACGGAAAAAAATTTTCTTGGCATACTCTATCCGATCAACTGTATTATTCTTACTAGAATTTTGTCCAAAACAATCAGGTAAGAAGTCGGATAAGAAATTGAGTGAACATATATTTTTTAGTCATTAATTATCGAATTATTTTAACAATTTAATTAAAAAACCTGCACCAATTAACTAACTCAATAAACCAATAACACTGAAGAAAATACAATAGATTCGATAATACATAAACAATTACAATAAAACACAACAAAAAAATCATAAACATCAATACACCATATATAGGAAAGCCATAAACATCAATAAAAGATTAGGATTTTTAGATTTTTGAATTTAAATTTTTAGAGATTAATATATATATATATATATATATATATATATATATATTAAAATGTTAACATATGTGAGTAGGGTAGGATAGCGTAAGAATACGAAAATTTTATCAATATTTCGCATTTTTATCCGTCTTTTTACGAAATATTAAAAAATCTTTCATTGGCCTACTTGATTCTTTCGGATAACATATCAGTAAGGTCGGATAGAGTAGAATAAAATCAAAATTTACGAGTAATCAAAAATTTGATTAGTCCCAGTTACAACAAAATTCGAACTTTTGAAAAGAGAAATTTCGGTTGGATTTCTAGCCTATTTATAGGCACAACTCAGAAGTGTAATTATGCGCCACTAGTGCAGCCTACCAGATGGTGCTTCACACCATACTAGTGTGCACCCGCAAGCACAATAATATTCTTATTATTAAAGCATTACAAGTTTATATTAAATAAATGTTTTCCCATTTTCTTCTTATTTTCTAATGTGGAATTCACTTTAAAAGCTATCCGCAGTTTTTTATTCTCTCTTAAAGATATCATTACTATTTTAAAAAAAAAATCCTCCAAAATATATATAAATATTATTTTGAAAAATTTTCAATATCTTCAAGCATTTCTAATGTGGTGGCCAAAACTAATGATCCGTTCGGTACAATGAAAAATGAAAGGATGAAAAATTTGAAGGATAAAAAGTTAGATGAATAAATAAAACATTATGTTTGGTAAAGAAGGAAAGTAGGAAGGATGAAAAAGTGGATGAATTAACTCTCCTTCTAACTCTTCAAATTCAATCCCTTCAAAATCGGAACGAAAGTAGGTGAAAAATTAATTATTTGTATTGAGATATATCTTATTTGTCTATATATATTATGTATACATTAATTTCATATAAAAATATAATGATAAAATATATATATATATTAAAAAATAAAAAATAAAAATTTTAAATTAAAAAAAAAATATTTTTTTCATCTTAAGTAGGGGTGAAAATTGTCGACTCAACACGATGACATAATTCGAACACGACACAAATTTTATGACACCAATTTGAAAATGACCTGATACGAGAACACGAAATATTAAAGGCTCATAATTTTATGACTTAACACAAATCTGACACGACACAACTCGATTGTCAACCCTAATCTTAACTATCACAAAAAAAAAATAGTCGTTTTTATTTTTCATCCATCTAACCAAATACAAAGGAAGAAAAATGTATCATTTTTACTTTTCATTATTGAAGGATAGAAAATGTATCCCTCATACTTTTTATCATTTCTACTTTTCATTCTTCCTACCAAACAGATCATAAGTATTATTGATTAATATACTCATGAAAATATACTAGAAAATAAACTAATGGAAGATGGTGTGCAACTGAATTTTTTCCACAAAATAGACGCAAGCAGGAAAAAATAGGAATGGGCCATGGGTCGGACAACCCATTAGACTTGAAGAAACCAAGGACTTCTTACAAAATTGCCCAATCATTGTTTAATGGGCCTGGGGCAGAGTTACGATAATTTTCTTGGGTAAGTCAGGTTTTTAAGGGTGTGTTCGGCGCACACTCCAAATGGACTTTTCGGAGCCAGAAGTCCATCTCATTAATTTTTGAACAATGTTACAAGATTTAAATGAAACTCAAAAAGTTATAATTTATATGCATATTATTTAATGGGTCAATACCAAATGACCCAATTCATGGGAAAAAACCCCAACTTATAGAAGACCATGCAAGCCCTATGAAGTCTAAGACTATCAAGCCCATCAGGGAGTTACGGGAGCATCAAGGAGTTATACCCTTACCTGTTGAGGAATAGGAGAGATAGCCAAAAAGAGGACGGGTCATCAGCTATTAAGTTGCTTCCAGTCCGTTATAATCGTCAAGTTACTCAATTACTACGTAGACTTCTATAAATTGTAAGCCCCCCCAACACTGGGGGGCATCTCAACAAAATCAAGCTTGTCTCTCTCTCTCTCTCTCTCTTTCTCTCTCTCTTGTAATTCTTACTCTCTCGATGCACCAGAGTCAATAAAATACCGGCAACCCTTACTATTCAAAGTGGACGTAGGTCATATTGACCAAACTACTATAAACCTTGTTTTCTCTTTACCTTTTACTTACTGTATTTTATATTACTTAATTGATGGGTGGTGTGCAAATCAATTTTGTGCATCATCGTTATTCTTAAGATGAGTGGGTCTTATTAATTTTTTCAGTAAGATCCACTCATCTCACGTTCATCCAAAAAATAATATGCATTTGACTTTTAATTTTTGAGTTTGATTTGAATTATGTAATAATTTTTTTAATTTTAAACTGTTTGGTGGACCGTGACTTGGGTTTATAAGAGAAAAGTGCATCCTTGAAATGCGCATCTTGACAAGCTGGTTTTCCTAGCTTCTCAAAATGCATATTTTTGCATTTTTTGCCTCAAATCTTGAATCAAACATGAATTTAAAATATGTATTGGACTATTTTCATAAAACTCTTCCAAACCTACGTACCAAACATACCCTAGGAGTAGGGGCATCCATGTGATTGGATTCCTTTACTAAAGGTTGCTTTGGCCAAAATGGCACATAAAGCCTCATGCACCACAAGATTTAGGCAAATACATAAACTAGTATTCCAGTGGTGTGCGATTAAATTTTAAACTCCGATGTCTCGGGTTTAATTAATACTTATTGTTAACTGGTGATCACACACACACACACACACACACACACACACATATATATATATATATATATATATATATATATATACTAGTTATTGCTTGTGTCTGAAGGTACAGAGTAATAAAAAATGATAAATAATAAATATATTTGTATTCATATTTAAATTAAATCACAAACATATAGAAGAGATAAAATAATTTAAGCATCGATTTTGTAGTGGGAGTGAGAGATGGTGGACGACAGTGGTATTAGTAGAAGACGGTGATTGTTGTGGTAGGTGGCAATGACTGTGGTGGCGATGGCGGTAGCGGTTGTAGTGGCAGTAATGGTGGTGGTGAGGTGGGAGTGGCGGCGACAGTGATGGTGGCGATAGCAGTGGTGTCGGTGGCGGTGGTGGTGTCGGTGACAATGGTAGTGATGATGGCGACGACGATGGTTAGGTGTGGTAGTGTTTGAAAAAATAATTTAAAATTTTTCAAACACTATTTAAAAATTTTTTTTATTTAGAAATAATTTCTGTAAGTACTTTTAAAAAGTCACTCCAAACACATCCTTAACGGTCTATTTTTTCTATTAAATTTAGGGTGTTAATATTAGCCGTTAGATTAACTTTAAAATAAAATTTAAAGTGATCTCAACCGCAAATAGCAAAAAATATTTTGTTTATCTTTTGAAATTTGAATTGTAACATACTTTATTATATATATATGTGTGTGTGTGTGTGTGTGTGTGTGACTTATTCTTGAGAAGGAGAAAATATTCATTGCAATGGTGATTCCATGCTAGTATTATTATGTGATATCACTAACTACTAAAATATAGACAAATAAAAAAATGGACCCCACATAAATTAATGAGTATTCCTCCGTGTAAGTTAATAACTACCCAAGTACGGTTCACCTTGTCTATTTAATGTTTTATTATGGACTGATAACATCATGTGATAATACTAACAGAATATCACCATTACATTGAATATCAAAGAGTACGGGACTAATGAGGCCCTTCATTATAGAGGTTCCTCATCGTAAAACAAGAAAAAATAAAATAAAATTACAACATATGTCTGAATGGTTTGCTTCAATAGCATACATGGATGGTTGGTACGTGGAA